TGCTTGTTGGCTCGCAGTCACTTTTACATCTGAAACTCGCGCTCCGAGCCAACCTGCGTTACCTGATGGTTGAGGCAGCCGAGGCTCTCAAGACTCAGGTCGGACGAAGCGTCACGGGCCGCTGGGCACGGCCGGAAAATTTCCCTTTGTACCGCGACACCTGGGCTCAAGAGCAACTCGGACGTCGTGCACGGTGCACACCTGCTCGAAATATTGTCGGAAAGTTGGTCAGTGGGATCCAATCGGGTTCGCCAGTCGACTCCCGTCGTCTGAATTGGAGCTTCCGAGCTTTTTCCCTCGATTCTTCTTGGATTCTTCACACAATAAGTCGGTCCTTCCATGTCTCCAATAATGTGCAGCATACTAGAGCCACTTGGATAACGGAAGGGCAAATTCCGCATTGTGGCTGGCTATTTCGAATGGTTATAATGCCCTCAAAGTCGCGCTCCCACAGCACCAGCTGTATCGACAAACAATCGGACGTGGTGCACGGCGCACACTCGCTATGAATTAGCACTCCTTCGAGTTCAATGCGGGAACCTGGGCTCGATTTCCAGCGTCCGGATGCTCCTGCTGGCGCCAGGTTTTTTTTCTTACTGATGAAGGAAGGCGGCTATCTTGATGTCTTTTCCTTTCTGCTTGTCTGCGGGAATATCTATTCTACCCACCCCCAGTCACTCAGCCGCTCGGCGCTCGCCTTCTCGGACGTCCCGAACTCCGTCCAGTCACCGAAAACTTTCCCCTTGCATCGCAACACCGATGTAGACAAAAGAGAATCGGACGTGGTGCGTGGTGCACAACCGCTACCAATCAAAGGTTCATAACGAGTGTATGCGGGAGACTGGGTTCGATTCCCGGCGTCCGAATTCTTGGACAAGATATTCCTTTTTGTCCTTTGGCCAAAGAGCGACTCCTGAAGCACAAATTATTCTACTGGCCCTCCGCAACTCAGGCGCCCGCTCTTCAGTTCCACCCCAGAATGCCCTTCACAAAGCCCACCAAAGGAACGAAAGGACGGCCCAGCTGCGCGCGGACGATTCCGCACCTACACCTCATGAAAAATTCAGCCTGTTGTGTAGGATCGCCCGTTCGACTCGGTGCTGGGCCTTGGCTTCTTCGACTGTTTTTTTTAGTCTCTCTGTGGGCCAATTGTGAACATGTATCAGACAGAGGCATGGTATGCATGGTATACGATACGCAGTAAACTGGTAAACATGCCGCAATATAACGAGCGATGCTTTGAGATACGAGAAGGTTTCGGTCAAAGCGGTATATTTTGATCGGGTCCTAAGGTTAGGGTTAGATGCCCGAACGAGCGGAAAAAAAACAAGGACCGAGCCTCAGCCCAGCCAGGCCACCCCGCGACACACCGTCCCATTGGGTCCTTCCAATACTCTCCGTATCAGCTTCGCACTCCGCATTCGTACGCGTACGTGCTCATCCTGCCTCTTGGGCACGAGTGGCGAGTCCGGCGCGGAGAAAGGCGCTTGGAGCCTGAGCAAGGAAAGGTGTGTACGACGATCGTGGCCATCCACACCGTCCGCATCTTCATGGCTGCATGCTTCGGTAAGGCAGAGAAGCCACGCGAGCCTCGAGATGATACGCGCATGCCCGACACGACGCCTCCACGCCAAGGCGTCATGAGATCTCGCCGGCAGCGGACGCGCGCGGTTGCAAACCAGGCGGAGCGGGACGGGGAGGAGGTGCGGGATGAGGAGGAGGTGGAGATGGATGTATAGGCGAGACGATGGGACTGGACCGCCACGTCGTCCGTGTCAGTATCATCGAGAGTTATGGGACGAGGAGCTCAGAAGATCGCAAGCGCGGTGCCGCGGCAGCAGCTGCACGGGGCCTGGGGTACGCTACGCTCGACGCGCTGGGACGGGGGACGAGGAGGATGCTGTGCGCCTTCGGAGTACAGGGACAGCGGTGCGCGTCGGCAGCGTACACCACAGTCGTAAGCATCGATCCCTTCGGCCATGAAGAGGTGAGAGGCAGCATCGCAAGACTGCAAAGACGCCGCCTGCGACGGCACCGAGACAACCTGGCGAGGCGGACGACGCGACGGCGGACGTCGAGCAGATGCGCGATGCGCGAGGACGTGGTCAACTTCCGCCGCTGCCGGGTCTCCTCTCCTCTCCGTCCCTCCCATCCTCCCCAAGACGGCCCCGTATACGTGCGGGGATCAGCGTCCGTCCGCCTCCGCCTCCGCCTTCCCTTGCGCTTCGGCGTCGGTCCATAGCGAGCACATCATCGAGGAGAGCGGCTGCAGCTGCGAGGACTGCCAGTGGATGGACTGCTTAGGCGAGCGGGCGTGGCGGCAGAGTCGTGCCAGCGACGGCAGCAAATGCGCGGACACGCGTATGTATATGTCCTGAGATCTATGCCCATCCATCCACCTCCGCGTCCGCCTCTGCTCCCCGTAGGCGTCCCCCTATCGCAAATGCCAGCGCATCGGGGAGAGCAGCGGCAAAGCGCGGAGTGTCGATAGCGAAACGGTCGGTGTCGGGGAGGACGTGCGCTCCGCAGGCAGGGATATACCGCAAAGCTTCATAGAGGGGGATCCGTGCCAGACGAGTTGGAATAATATGACTGCGGAGGCGCAAAGGGGAGCCAGCGAAGCGTCGATGGCGCAGAGGTTATCACGGTGGAGCGGTCGTGCGATGCGGGTCGGAGTGGTCAGATTGCACAGGCGGCAAAAGGGAGGCACGCGCAGGGGCAATGGCGAAGAGGTAGGTCGAGCGGACGTGCGATGCGACGTCGCAGAGACGTAGAGGCGGCAAACGCGACGCACCCCACGCCCTGATGACGCAGGGGGTGGTTCACGGTGGGAGACGTGCGAGGCGAGTCAGCGAAGAAAAAGTGCAGATGGACGCGGGCCTCGAGGATACGCGCGGTGACGTGGGCGACAGGGATAGGCGCGGGCCGATAGTGCCCTGCCTTTCGCTGCGCTCAGCTTCAAGATGCTCGCCCTTCGGAGGGGCGCACGATTGATCTTCCTCCAGGTCCGCCTCCAGAGCGACTCAGCGACTGTGGATGCGGGGATTGGACGGGACCCCTACTGCCGGGACGGTGATGGGAGCTCAAGCTCGGAACTCTGCGGCGCGCGAGGTGAGGAGAAATAGGCGAGTCCGTGTCCACTTCGAGGCGTGGGTGCGGGGGACAGGCTTCATGGGAAAATGCGCATCAGCCGCGCGACGTGGTGGGGGCATTCATGGGGTGAGCAGAGGCAAGCCTGCGGTATGCATGTGCGTATGCGGGGCGTTGCTTGACAAAGGGAATGTGCAGCCCGGAGAGCGTTGCGACGGAGGCGGACGGGGATGGCGATTCAGAGAGGCCGAGGGGATGCAAGGAGGCGGAGACGGAGTGAATGCGAGCCTGAGTGCCTCATGGGCATCGTACGTAGGACGGCAATGGTGGAGTCGTGGTACAGCCTGCATCGCCCGCCTTGCGCTGTCTGCGGTGCCGCGCCGTCATATTCAATGGAAGCGGAGATGCGACCTGGGCAGGACTGGCTGAGCGATACGCTTTCAGGACAAAATTAGCCCGGTCGTGCAGTCTATCGCAGAGAGAAACGCACTTGATCGCTGCAAGATACTGGATACGACGATACGTGAGCAAGGACACCCGCCACACCGTCTCCTGCTCGTCTCCTTGTAGGCCCCCAGACTACTCTTGTGGATTTGCACAGGTTGACGCGTTCGCAATTAAATCAGACTGAGACTGAGGCCTGGCACAGGAAAGCATGTCCCGCCCAAGTCCCGCCGCGTCAGGTCATCCTCGCGTTTTTGGAGTAGTTCGATTGCCGATGCGGCTTGAGCCAGGTAAGCGCGTTATCCGTTTCAAAGGAGACCATTCAGTCGCGTTATCCCAGAAAGTACGGTCCAGAGGGCGCCGACTTGGCGCCGACGAAGAGACAAGACGGGAAGCTGCAAGTAAATAAACATAAGCATCGGCAATTGCCGACCACTCTCGTTTCCCTCTCGTCGTTCTGCCCGGGAACACCAGCTCTGGCTCTGCGCTCAGCCCCTTTACATATTACTCGGCGCGAAATCAAGCTCTCAGCAAACGCTCTACACAACTGGCAACGGGCGAACGCCGACTATCGATCTCCAAATTGCCAATCGAGCGCTTCCGAATTCGCCCCGGAAAACTCTGGGAAAAGTTCACCCCGTACCGCGGCGCCTACGCTCCAGAGAGACTCGGACGTCGTGCACGGTGCACACCTGCTCGCTGTAGGCGAATTTTCTAAATGCAACTACTGCAGGATCGAATCGGGTTCGACTCCCGGCGTCAAAATTCGTACCTTTCCCAATCTTTTACTCCTTCTTGGCTTGCTTTGCGCAATCTTCTAGTCTCCGGCTTTGGACGTACGGCCTGCACAATGATTCAGAATCAGTCCTCATCATACGGTCCATGCACATTCCCTCCTAGCCCGCGAGTTATATCGATAACCAATCGGGACGTGGTGCACGGCGCACACCCGCTACAAATTCAGTCGGTTTCGCAGCGCTTCAATGAGGGAGACTGGGTTTGACCCCGGCGTCCGAATACCTCGCCGGCTTCGTGGATTTTTTTTTGGATTTGGAGGGGGTTTCTCAGCTCATGCGTATACTTATAAGGTCTAACGATTTATTTTCTGCTTGTCTGCGAGAATTGCGATTGCGATTCTACTCACTCGGAATCTGTCCGTTGCTGAAAAACATCCCTCGCGTCGGGACTATCGTATTTGGAGGACCGAATCGGACGTGGTGCGTGGCGCTATCGCTGATTATAAGCGCGTGAGGAAGAATGGGCTCGATTCCCAGCGTCTGAATGAGCGGAGCTTATTCTTTTGAGGGCTTTGTACCTCATCTTTCTGCATTTCCTGTATATTTCAGCTCACTCTGCTATTCAGATGTCCTCGCCCCTTCTTCCTAGGTCCGAAATTCTCACAAGTGACTGCAGTCCTCATTCCCAAAGCCTCCCCTCGAATCTCACCACCGTCGTGAAAGAAGTATTCGGACGTAGTGCGCGGCGCACACCCGCCACCGATTGAAGATTCATGCTGAACTTCGTGTATGCGGGAGACCGGGTTCGATTCCCGGCGTCTGAATTCTTTGGTGCTTTGACTGTTTTTGGGCACGGTAGGTGTTACATGTATACTTTCCCTGGTCACTTCTCTCCACCAATGGTAATTCAACTCACAAGGGACAATTCAGCGCTTCTGAAATTCTGTTATTCTGAAATTCTTATACTTTCAGGTCTGGTTGGTCTACAAAATCTCCTTGTATGCATTGGCACCGTTGCGAGCCTGAAGTATTCGGACGTGATGGTGCACACCCGCTAGCAGTGCCGCTTCCATCTCCGTCACCCAGCGTATATATGCGGGACACTGGGTTCAATTCCCGGCGTTTGCATCCTTGCCTTGCTTTACATCTCTCTTTTTCTTCCGGTTGGAAAGGGGAGCCGAGCCTGAGGATATCCGGATGTAGGGTAAGTATGTATTGAATATATGTAATGCTTATACGCCGCAAAAAAAAAGTCTGCCAGAGAACACACCGCGAACGTAAGACAGAAAGGCCCAGTGGTGGCCACCAGGAAGACGGAAAATATGATGATACAGTCGTGTAAGATCGCCCAACTGTCGGATATCGCGACCATGGTGACCCGGACGACGACAACCGAATTTGTACTTTTGATTGACTTTTGACCTTCGGTATTGCTTCGGTAGTCCGTGACTAGTTTTATAACCAACAAAATGACTTGAAAGACCCAGTTAAAGTACATAGAATACAATCCAGTTACATCGAAACTCTACTAGAACAAGCGCCTAGAGTTGGTGCCCAATTTTCTCTGACCGGAGCTCATCCTGCGCGAGTTCCTCCGCCTCCGTCGTTGAGAATTGACATAGTTTTTGCGAAGAGCCGGTGCTGCAGCTGGACCGCCCTACTATTGCCGTCGCGATCTTTTCTGCATGACTCGGCGACCGTGAACCTCGCCCCCAGTGCAGCGAGCGAACTGCCCGGACAAAGGACTGGGAGGCAAGTAGTAAGTTGCGTAGAACTAATATGAATGGGAATAATACGTGGCGGCGAGGAGAGTGTACAGGAGCGGACGGAGACAATAGATGAATAGATCTGTAGAGAGGTGGGCTCGAATACGAGGTTTTGCGAAAGTGAGCTTACTGGTTGTGCCCAAAGTAAAGGTCTGTGGAGCGCTGTCAGCGTTTTGCGGAATGTGCGGAATCGGAGCAACGTACAAAATTGGTGACCTCGGTATGCTGGACACTGTACACATCAAGGACGCAGGCGGTTGTGCTCAGGAAGCAGGAAAGAAGCGGATACAACGCTGATTGGATCTCAGCGAGGAAGACGAATAGCTACGAACATAGCGAAATCTCACCGATACGTATAATCATCCACCGAAATCGCACGACAGGATGCTTGGAAAACCGCGGTCCACTAGAATTGGAGTTGCCGGTACTTTGAGATGCCAGACTGGAGTGCACACGCTGAAGCCTCATCTGAAAACACGGCATGAGCCTTGTATAGACCACCGGGCAAAAAGAAAGAAAGAAGGCATGCCTGGTGTGCAATCATGAAGGTCATAATCCGGAGGAACGAAAACAATTCGAGGGCCGACATAAGGAGCAGAGCACGGAATGCACGACATCCCTGTGGTTGCACCGATTTCTTTCAACTCTAGCACCGGTGCAACTTCTGTGACGCCCGCTTGGCGCGACTCATTGTGGCATGTGAGCACATTTGTCTACACAGAATGAGAAGATTGTTGACATTGTAATCAGCTCGTATTGCCTTCTGGGTGGGCCTCCAATAGCAGTACATCGCAGGTGACCGCCACACTCAGTGCCGCCACAACTTTGTGCGAGACGAGCTGGGCAAGCTGGCCCCAAATTCGGGTGCTTATATGAATGAGGGCAACGTGTATGAGAGCAACCACGAAGGTATAATCGTTCTCCCCCCGGTATCATGACACGATTAAAACGATGGAAAATGGTACAAAGTCTCATATTGGGGCCCGAACTACCCGCGTCTTCTCGAAGTGAAGCATAAATACTTAGTGAGTTTCAATGCGGCTCGAGCTTAATTGCTGAACTCCCTCCCCTGTCAGCGACCCATTTGGCCTTCTCGATCGCTGGAGATGTGGTGAGTGCCTCAATGACTGTCGTTCGAATTTCTGATCGAGAGATATCAGTGGGATGGACGGGACCCAAAAACTTTCCGTGTTATCCGGCAGTTGCACTATAGAATGTCGTGGCTGGCTGCTCTTGGCCACGGATCTATGTATATATCTACACCGTTTAGACTCCTGTACATCACTCTACTTTCACGCTGACAATTGACTATGAGCGTTCGCTGCTTCGCCACTATACAGGTTCGGTCAAAGCGATGTATTTGGATTGTGTATTAGGGTTAGGGTTAGGCGCTCAAAAGTGCGAAAAAAAAATGGTCCACCCAGCCGAGTGGCCGTGGTGGAACTGGAAAATATTGAGACGGTGCATGCACCTAAGCACATACAAGCTGCAGGCGCACTCTGTATGGACAGGGTCGCCGTGCTATGGAGTGTTCCTACACCCCACAGACCCAGGGAGGTGAAGGGGCCTATGCCATCAAGGTAAGTATGAGTTGCTCAGGAAATAAGACGAGGCTTTTATACGTCACCGCTGCGCACGGACCATGTACTACAGCCGATGCTTGTGCGCGTTTTGGGAATCAATATTTGATGTATCAACGTGCAGTTTCGCGTTTCGGTCAAATTGCGGGACGGCGCGCATAATGGTATAGCACTAATATGTCTGCACCTGTATATACATTGACTTGACTTTTGAACTGCTGAATAGACTTCGAGCCTTACACCGAATCCGGCTTTTATCAAACTTGAATCCAGTATGTAGCTTCGATTCTCGATACACAAACCGACATCGGCACAGGTTACAAGTCAAACACCTTGAACATTTTTTTGTGTTCGAGGTATACTATATACATGCATGTAACAGCTGGCAAGCGCTCCCCGGAGCACTCAGCACCCAATCGCTAAGCTGAACCAACCCTGGTTCCAGCCGTCGGAACATCGCTTGCAACGGCTTGACCCGCTTGTGACCTCAGGACGGCTTGCGAATGCCCTACGGGTGGTCGCAAGATACAGGGGTGGCTTTCCAGAAGTCTCAAGACGTGCCTGGGTAGCACAACTGGGAATCCTGGATTGAGCAGGGATTGCCCGGGATCAAGTTCTCGTTTCTTCAACTCGACTCCACTCCAGGGCAGGAAATGCTTGCTGTTAGTTTGCATCGCAGGCTCTGTGGAAAATTACTATTTGTTTGCGAGCCTGGGAGCGAACCGTGGAAATACATCAATCAACTTACGGATCAATGATGAAAACCTGTGCATGATCTCGGCTAACATTTTCAAATTTGGAGTTTTTGCTTACGACGGTCACCATTGCTCTTCGAGATCCGCAATGTCTGAACACAGGCTTCGCCGGCTCGGTCAGTCTGTTCTGCTCCCATAGGAGCTTTATATGTGACCTGCATTCAACAGGAATAATGGAAAGGTATCATGCGACTCGCCATTTCGTTGGGATGGACGCCTGCATCGTCACCTCCGCGAGGTATACCACGCATGAGGACACAACTTTGACCAAAGAGCTGCTGTTTCCTGTCCTTCGAATATTAATCGATACACATGCCCTGCTGGGGGTGAGGTTCGACAGCCGGGAGGACAGTTTGGATATCGCTTATCTGCGCCTCCCCAGCGTGGATTTAACCCGCGTCGTACAGTTTTCTGGGCATTCCGATTTACAAAAGGCCATAACGAGCCAAATTTCGCGTCGTTTCGAGGATACTCAAGGGGACTTGCCGCTGTGGCGTCTCGAGGTTCTCGCAGACAACACCGTCATCTTGGCCATGCACCACGCGATCGGCGACGGCCTCAGCACCGCAACGTTCCACAGGTCACTCCTTGAGGCACTTCAAGAGACGTCCCTCCCTCTTTCCTCGTACTTCGTGCCTGTTCCCGAAGTCCGTGCGTTGCCGCCGATCGAGGACGTCACGGACATCAGCCCTTCGTTCCTGGAGATTATCAGCGTCCTGTATCAAGTCCTCTGGCCATGGAGCCCGACGAAGACAGCATGGACCGGCCGCCTCGTGCCGCCTGTGGTCGCTCTCGAGACAAACGTCCGCCTCGTTTCCTTTTCGCCCGCCGACGCCAAACGGTTCTCAGACATCTGCCGCTCGCATGGGGGCACGGTCTCCTCCACCCTTGTCGAGCTGATCGTCTGCGTTATCTCACGCCTCATCGCGGACGACCCCGCGCGGTACAAAACCCTCTCCATAAATATTCCCACCTCTCTGCGCACCGTTGCACGTTGTGGCGACGACGAGATCTGCAACTACACCTCGAGCTACCAACCCTTCCCGTACGCACAGAGGACCTTTGCCTGGGCGCGCGCGACCGAATTGGCGGGCGAGCTGAAGGTGCAGAAAATGAAGACCCACGAGCGCCTGGGCTTCATTCGATGGATCGGGGGTAACCTGCTCGGCTTCCACAAGGGATATCTCGGCGCTAAGCGCCCGCACGGCATCACCATCTCCAACCTCGGGCGCTTTGCGGTGCCGAAGCAGGAGGGGAGATGGAGCATCGGGAATATTTTCTTCAGTACCTGCGATTCGCTCGCGGGCCCGGCGATGGCGTTGGGCGTGGTAGGGGATCCTAGCGGCGCGCTGAACATCGGAGTTACATGGGGCGAGAAGAATTTGGAGGGGGGGTTCGTGGAAGCCTTCATTTCGACGTTCCAGGAGGCATTTCAGAGATTGTTGGTGGAGAAACTGTAGCTGTACCCTGTTAACAGCCGTCATGGGTTCGATTATCAGTATTTTATTCGACGTTCCTCAACTGTCCGACTCAAATGTTATATTTGGCTCCCCAGACGCGCCGAAGAACGTGTCAAGTTTCAATTGATTCAACCGTACCTATCGTCATGCAATGAGCTTCTCAACGGAAGGTAAAATTAGGCCCTGTAACAGCGAGCAATTAAACATTAACTGGGTCGACTAAAACCTTCTCGGTGCTGGTTCAATTTCAGTGTTGTGAAGCG